AGCAGCAGCAGCAGCATCAGTGGGGCACGCACCCACGCGGGGATGTCGCTGCCGTCAACGCCTGCAATTAGTTTCGCAGCGGCCGTAGTGTTTGTAGTGATGTCTCTTTTGGTGCCCTCGGTAACTGCGGTGGTCGTAGCTGGTGGTATAGTAGGTGCTGAGACTGCAGAATCACGAAGGGTAGGAGCACTTTCCATCACCTTCTCCAGAGCAGTGGTGGCCTTTTTTGGAGCCTCGGAAATATCCGCAGGCTGAACTGCTGGCGCAGATAATGATTTCGCAGCCTCGACAACAGCAGGAAGACTCTCACGCACCATTTTGAGAGCGGCGGCGACTCTTGTGTCCTCGATCTTCTGTATGGTCTCATTCAACTTCCTCTCCAAGTCCGGTAGCGCAACGTCCGCATACCCTCGCACGGCTTTAGCCGCATACGTTGCTTCCTCGGCTACATTCTTGACGATCGCATCGCTCAATTCTTTATTCTTCACAATGTCAAGCAGTTTCCGGGTGCGGTTCAGCAGAACAGCGGCGGACACGGTGACCCTCACGTTGTCCTCGGCAGCATCATTCACGAGTGTAGCGACCATGGCGGACTCATTTCTTAGCACAGCAAGGGTAGCATCATCCTTGTCCTTGTTTTCGGCCAACGTTTTTTCGCTGGCAAACGCGGAGACCTTCTCCGTCAGATTCGCCGCCGCGTCCACGGCAAGGGAGGTGATCTCCAGCATCTTGGCAATCTTTTCCACCTCAGCCTCGCACTCCTCCGCCACAGCACGCGAGTTTGTCAGACTCTCAACAACTTTGGCCAGCGAGGTGAAGACACTCTTCTCTCCCTTACCTTCGGGCAAACCTTTCAGAGCGGCCTTAAACCCCTCCGTCGCGGTCTTTGCGCTCTTCACCGCCTCCTGCGGGTCAAACTCTAGCAGGCTGAGGTCAGACTTCGCCTTCGCAGCCTTGACTGCCGCCCGTGCGATTGAGTCCTTTGCCAACCGCACGCTCTCCACGGTCGGAGGGGTCACCACTGGCTCCTTCGGGGCTGGTGCCGCTGGCAAATCCTTCCGAGCTCTCACCACTGTGCTCTTCGGAGGGATCATCGCTGGCGCACCCTTCGCGGCTGCTGCCGCTGGCTCCTTCGGTCTCTCCGCAGGTGGCAGAGACTCGCTCAGCTCCGTCACTGCATTAAACGACAAATCCAGCGACCGCAGCGTCACCCTCGCCAGAACAGTCTCCACTGCGATGCGCACCGCATTGAGCGCATTCTCCGTTGCCGTCATTATGTTCGACAATGCGTCCTTCGCAGTGGCTGTGTCCGCCGGACTGGGAATCGAACCGGGGAGTGGCGTGCCACCTGGCTCTGCTGCAGGCACTGGAGCTGGAGAAATCGGAGCACCTGGCGTCGGCCCAGGACTGGTAGCTCCTCAGTGGCAGCCGTCACGCACAAGGCCGTGCAGCAAAGAGCAGCGGCCAACAACCACACAACGCGGCGCACCGTCGCCATGATTCAATATCGCTTCAACAGCTGGGGTCTGCAGGGGGGAGAAAAGAGAGACGCTGCACAGCAGACAGCCCCAACACACACACACGGAGCGGAAGGGAGCAGCAGGCACAACACAGGCGGCATCAGCCATGATAAAAAGAAACCCATTAGAGAAAAGAGA